TATCTTCAGGAAAACACTTTTCTTTTTTTGGATACGTGAAAATACAATACATGCCTTTGAAATGAGAGGCTTCTGGGGAGGGGCGGGGGGGAGGCGGTGCAGGTTGTGACCTGACCTTTCGGGGCTCCCCAGACGAGACTGGGGCCAACACATGCATATCGTGAATCTTAAAACAGATCCGCCAAGACAGCAGTCACAAACCACCACCCCCCAAAACCAGAAGGCACATGCGATCTTCTCATGTGTGTCTCTGGGTCCGTGCGTGTCTACAGACTAAATAGTTGTCTGTGGCCAGGGATTGAAAGGTCTGTTTGCATAGGAGTCCTTCCCTCTGCACTGGCACTGTGTGTCCCCCTGCGAATCAGATGCCAGAAACCTTTATCTCTTTGTGGGGCGATTTGCATTCTCCACATAGGCCTCTACATTTTGCAAACAGTAATAAATTAAAGCCTTACGACAGTACTAGGCACTTCTTTCCTTGAAAGACCAAGGGTAAGGCTAAGAGCTAACAATGATATCAAGAAATTAACAGCCACCCCCATCGCCTGGGAACGTGGGTTGGGCGTGGGGTTGGGGGACAGGGCTGAAGGTGGCTGTGGGGCAGGGGAAGAGCCTACTTGTACATTTGCATCGGGCAAACGTTCCAGTTATGACAGGTCCCCTGAGAAAAATAATCCAGATTTCAAGGCTCTGCACACAGCTCTTCCTTGCCCGGCCACTGCCCTTTAATTGATTACCTAAGGACTTTGGAAGGCAGACTTTGGGGTGGCCTGTGGGGGGGTTAGGTAAAAAGCAGCAGTGTATAAAAGACAGTGGGTTAGGGACTCGGAACCCTCAGTAGAGTCAGCTAATGACTGGGGTCCCCAGATTTTTTTGCGAACAATAAGGAATAGACTTATAGTGGGTCTTTTTGTCTGCCACATGGACTATAAAGCTCTCCTAGAGCCCAATTTCCAGCTGGAAAAAGGGCGGGGGGGCGGGGAGACAAACCAGTGGTGACTAGGTTCTACCAACGTCCAAATGGTTCTTAGGCTCAACTGGGAATCCTTTCCCTTCTCAGGCTTGACAAAGGGATCAGCTGACAACTTAGCACAAGAAGGTGGAGGGGGTGATTTCCACCCACCTGGGTTAGGCTCAACCCAGCCCTGAGGCAGCCAAAAGGCTCAGGTGTGGCCCAGAGTGAAAAGCCAGACACCTTCAAAAATCATTTGGCCTCAAGAGTTAATTAATATTAGATCTATTACTCACACAGGTTAAACTACATGCAAACTAATTAGATTTCATAATACAGTCAATGATGGTTTTATATCTCCGGCAATATTCTCATGCAGCCCAAGCTGGCAGACACTTGGGTTTGTTTGAAAATCGTTCTAAGTGTTTGCCTGGGCATGGAAGCCAGAGGCCAGAGTCTTCAACCCCCTGCAGACATTCTGAGGCGTCCCGATGGCCCTTTCTCCCCCTCGCCCGTCCTGGGGAGTCCTCCCCCGCTCTCCTGGCAGTCCGCATTGTTTTAATAAGAATATGACTTTGAAAATTGGCGCCCTCAGGTTGGATGTGCCTGGAGCCCCAAATCCTACTGCCTTAACAGGCAAACTTTTCCCCTGCAGGGGCAAACTTCCCTCTGCGGGATGATGCCAGCACTGCCCCGGGGCTCAGGGGCATCTCCCAGAGGCTCAGCCGGGGTGACAGAGAGAACCACCGTGGGTGGAGAAGAGCCACAGGTTCAGCTGGCCCAGAGGGCCTGCGCTCCGGGAGGCTGGCTGGAGGGCAACAGGCCCAAGAGGCTTCCCCTTGGCCTATTTTGAGAGTCTGTGCCTGAAGCATCCTTTGCAGCCCAGACTCCTCTCCCTGCCCCAGCAGGCCTGGTGGGGCCCAGCGCACATTCAAAGTTCTCACTCCAAGTTGCACTCAACAGTTTGGCCTTTCGGTGGGAGGTGGGGGTGAGGGGGAGGATGGCAGGGCTGGCTCTTGGGGGTGAGGGGGTGGGGGGCTCAGGTCGTCTGGGCCCTAACTCCGGGCTAGGAGCCCCCCGGGCGTCAGAAGGCGGGGTTCCTTCCTACCTGAGGTGAACAGGACTATGGCCTTGAGGCAGCTGTACTCGGCGGAGTCAACGTGTAGAGCCTTGAGCTTCTCCACTTGCTCTTGGAAGATCCGTATGTGGTCCATAAAGGCGACCACCCGGTCGGCGGACATGGGCGAGGCGTGTAGGCCGGCGGCGGCCAGGAGCGGGGCGACGTGGAGGGGCATGGAGCACTGCGCCGCGTTCAGCACGAACAGCTCGCTCCAGGTGAGGCGAAGCAGGGCCACCTGGTCGGTGATCTGAAGGTCGGGGAAGAAGGGGATGTTGCGGGCCCACTCGACGGCGCTGAAGAGCAGGCGCGCCGCCAGTTCGCAAATGTTCTCGATGCCCATGATGTTGTTGGGCTGCATGCACTGGCTGCCGAAGCGCGACGTGGGGTAGGGCTCGGCGCGCAGCAGCAGAGAAATATATCCGGACAGGTACGAGTGGCAGTTCAGGGGGTCCCCGTTGGTCAGGGCAAACTGCCCGTGGGTCGGCTGGGTGGGCGGCATCCTGCCTCTCTGGACGGCTGTGGGGAGGAAAGGAGACACTCGGCGGTTAGTGACCGGCCCGGGTCCCCAGCCCGACCCCCCAC